TTTTGTTAACAATATTCAACTTTATTCTTCAACATAATCTCCTTTTATTATATAATAATCCGGATATTATTAATGTCATAAAATCGCGTCGATTAAGATGGGCAGGTCACGCAGCGCGTATGGATGAGAACCGAACTGCATATAAAATACTAATTGGTAAACCGGATGGGAAAAGATCATTGGGTAGACCAAGACGTAGATGGGAAGATAATATTAGAATGGACCTTAACGAAATGGGGTACGAGGGTCACAAATGGAGGGATCTTACTTAGGGACGGGAACAGTGGCGGGATTTGGTATTTGCGGCAATGAGCTTTCGAGTTCCTAACGCCTAATAATAATAATAATAATAATAATCTCCTTTTAGCTCCATACACTCATTTCTGGTATAATCTTCATTCAAATATCACTTCATTTGGACGACCACTACGTTGTGCATCCGATGTACTGGTACGATCACGTTTAAATTCAGCAATCCAGTTAAATACGGTTGCATTCGAGCAGACTCCCCCAAAGTTTTTTGGAAGTCTTCAATCATTTCTTGCGGTTGCAAAAGTCTTTCAAATATGTAAAAATACTTAAATACTGCACGAATTTCAGTTTTTTCTATTTTTACAAAATATCAGAAGTTATGTGTTTTCAGTGGTTGTCATAAATATATTGATTATCATTGCTGTCTGTGTAGTGAGAGGTTTAAAAGTTGACACTACTGGAAATTCACGGCATTGAAGATCGTAACACCACTAATGTGTCATTCTAAGGACTTATCAATCAATCTAGTACAGAGATGGGCACTACTCGCGGGCGCCTAGCTGCAATAGTTGAATGCGTTGGGCAAATTGTTGAACGTCTTTGGACAATAAATGCTATGAGGAAAAATAATAAGGGGTTACATAGAAAACGCATTTTTTCTTTCTCTTGTATAATTTTTGTTTATATGTAAATATGTAATAGAAAAGAATAAGATAATTAAAAAAATAATTACAATAGAAAAATAATTTGTCATAGTTTCTTGTACAAAAGATAAAATTGTGTCTGATTGTATAATATATAATTATATATCTACATATGTTATATATAATTATGTGTAATTTTTATATATTATTATATATAATTTTGTACATTTTTCTCATTTCCTTAATCTGCAGTATTTATTCAGAAATTGTTTTTTTAATTATTTTTCAATTTTTTAAAATATTTTCCTAATATGTCGAACAGCAATTGTAAAAAAGAAAAAAACATATAAGACATTTATAGACATTTTATACATGCAAAAGAATTTCAGATACTGCTCAGGAGAAATATTAAAAAATATTTTTATAAAAATTTAGATAATTCTAAATTAGTATGAAATAATAACAATGTAGGTTTCGAATAAATGCTTCTTATTTATAACAATAATAATTTGTTTTTTAAAAATTCGTATTTAATTGATTACAATCTGATATTATTTGCGATATATAATATCAGGTGTTAAAGTCCTGACACAATTTAAACAAAGTATTGCGTTTAAATGCGAATCTGTTAAGAGTTCGTGTAGTCTTGACTTAATTTCATTATAGAAAATAATTGTTTGCATGAATAAGTAGTGCCAAACATACTTACTATTTTTTCAACATGAATATGTAATCGGGGAAAACGCTCTAGTGATACATATGAATAAAATTGCATAATGTCAATCGTTGTGTAGAAACGATTTTTGAATAAAATGTCAATCATCTCAAATCAATTAATTCTAATTGTATATTTGCGGAAACGATATTAATATCAACAGTAAACGGTGTCATAAAGACAAGAAAATTTACTTCTAAAACGTACATTTTCCTGAAGCGATGGTCAAATTCATTATGCAATAATTGAAGTAAATGCATAGCCAGGTATTCGCGAGCGCCTGTTTCATGTCCAGTTTCAGTATTTTGCCGTTCCCTGATCTAGTACGTATACGAACCTTATTTAATTTTAAAATAATTTAAAGTTTATATTCAGAAAAATATGACATCTCTTTCCTTTAAATTCTAAAAATTGTATGTGCGTATTGAAATATTTACATATCTTTAGGACATATATCTACACAATATTATACGTAATTACATACTTAGAAATTGAAGCTTCCACACTTAAAATGCAATTTAACACATAGCTTTATACATAGACATGCAATTGGAGTAGCAATATGATAAATTAACTTTTTATAACTTTAATTAGCAAATCATGGTTTATGTTACTTTATATCTATATGGTAGCCAGATATTAGTTACTAAACTTAGTTTTCTGCAGTTTTTTTTTGCTTAAAAAACTCATTTATTTCGATATCAAAAGCAAAAAAATACATCAATCAAAGTATTTGCCCTCGTTAGCTACACATTTTTCCCATCTTTGTGGCAATAAGTGGATTCTGCGACAATAGGACGATTGGTCTTTTGAAGCAATCCATTCATCGATCCATTTTCGCACATTCTCGTAATTTCTGAAGTGCGTGTCCACCAAGCCGTGCTGCATCGATCGGAACAAGTAATAGTCTGAAGAAGCTAAGTCTGGTGAATACGCTGGCTGCGAGAGAACTTCCCACTCAAGCTGCATCAGTATTTCCTTAACCGCTTTTACAACGTGTGGTCGAGCGTCGTCATGCAAAAGCATAACTTTGCGTCGATTGCTGGTTACTGCTGGCTTTTTTTCTAACAATGCTTCATTCAGATGGTTCAATTGTAATTGATATCGATTCCCGTGATACTTTCGTTTGAGTAGCTCATAGTAAATGACGTCTTGCATATCCTACCAAATACGGAGCATTGTTTTGTGGCTATTATGGATTTTTCGTTTTGGTGTAGATGTTGATAGTTGGCTAGAATCCATCCATGATTTTTGTGTTTGGGATTATTAAAATAGATCCACTTTTCATCGCCAGTCACAATGCGCCACAAAAAAACTCTTTTTTTTTCTGTCTGGCGAGCAGAGAAATAGGGATGTTTAAGCGATTCGTAATGGTATTTTTGGTTAAAAAAAATGGCACTGTTTACTTACATGAATTTTTTTGCACTGAGTTTTATTGACAAATGTCTAACTTCTAAAATGCAGCCAGCTTCAGATGTCAAAGTAAATTACATCTATAACTAGCGTCATCTAAATGTGAGCTGCGGAAATTAAATTTAGTACCTATATAGTTCTATAACTTTCTGCATGCGAGATCACGCAGCATAAGTCGGGATAAAACGAATGAAAGAGAATTAAAGGAGAAAGACGAGTGTGTAGGAAAAAATGATAGTGGGCGAACATTGGAGAAAATTATTGTCCTAGTTAAAATTTAAGGCAAAGTCCCTACATCGATAGGGAATGAGGGGGTAGGGTATGGTCGACGAGATACTATTAAAGACGGACATCCTTACGGGAGTTTGCGTCTTTGTTAATATTGAAGTGATTAAGAGTAAATAAATTGATAATATTGTATTAATTTTATTAGTTTTATGATTTATTAGTTTTTATGATTTATTTAGTATATGTTTATCAAAAAATAGTGCATTTAAAACTTAATAATGATTTTTCTTTAAAATTTTGATTTCAGTATTATTGTCAAAGTTTGATTATCAACGGAGATGATAACTACAAAGAAAAAAAATTGTAATTTTTGGGCAATATATAAGATATTATAGCTTTATAAGTATGCATATTTATTTATGGAGCATTTATGTAATAAAACATTTTGAACTTAATAATATATTATTGTAGTCAAATATCTATGTTAATGATAGCTTTATATCAATTGTTGATAATGTCAGCGTTCTTCAATTATCTCTGGGTTTTTGAGGCCCTTTTTATACAGCCGAAAATTGACTCAGAGTTGACGGTCTTTAATAGTATCTCGTAGGTGGTAGATACGATGAAAGTACTCTGCGGTTCTTTACGTACGTGGCACTGCTTTACAATAAGGCACCGCTGGACCAGTCTGTATGTATATCACATTTTCGAAGTATATTTGTCATGATAGCGCGAAGACACTTCGACATATTTTGCTATAAATTGTTGGAGTTTTCCAGTCGATTTAATCCTTCATAAATAGGACATACATGAGATTATTCCATTATTCATGCGCACTTACTATGGAGAATATAGAGATATACTTATTACAAGTAAAATAAGTAAATAATTAATAAGGCAATAGGAGTGCGGAAATCAATGCGCACAAAAAACAATTATAAATTATTTGATTAGTAACATGTATTTTAAGTACATGTATTTTTAATGTATTTTTTGTAAAATAATGTAATTTGTATTCAATTATTTTACAAAAAAAGAAACGTTTCGCACTGACTCTCACATTCCCTCATTATTTGTTTATTTTTATTGTTAATTGGCCAGAATCTATTTATCACTATTTGATTTATTTCAAGTAAATTTTTATATATTATAAATAGAGATATTGATATATAAATTTGACTCTAAGATTACACAGGCCTACAAAATCGAGAGTGTTCAAAGACGATTGAGCACAAGGTTTTCTATATAATTTTATGTACTGAATTCGAATCTGACGGCAGAATTTGCCTATTACGTCAGGTTATCAAAACAATTGAGGTTAGAGTGCCAAAAAATGGCGATTTTGACAAAATGGATGATTTGAGGGATCGAAATTTATTCAAACGTTTTGATGAATGGCATCGAATAGTACTAACTTTTAGCTTTAAAAAGAATTTTTGCTTTTTGTTTTGCGATTTTTATCACCGTGATACAATAAAGCATTTTTTGTAAAATATTATATTTATTTTAATTCAAATTTTTAAATTTTTCGATTTTCTATTCACTTTATTGAATTTGCCATTTTGAATTTTAAATTTTTGATTTTAAATTCCATTTTAGTGAATATTCAAAAACATTTGTATAAAATATTCCATTGACGTTAATATTGTACATTGGCTAGTGTATATGTGCTCCATTGCATTGTGTGTCGCGTCGTAAACATTGAAAAGTTAATGTTTTGTATCACAGCAAAAAAAAATCGTAAATCAAATAGCAAAAATTCTTTTTAAAGTTAAAAGGTAGTACTGTTCGATGTCATTCATCAAAATACTTAAATAAATTTTGATCCGACACAACAAAATCATAAATTTAGGCCATTTTTGGGCAATCTAACTTCAAATATTTCGATAACCTGATGTGATAAACAAATTCTGTCATCAATATCGGATTCAACGCAAAATTACATAGGAAATCACTCCTTCATAATCATTTGAAACATCACAGGTCTGTGTTATTAATTAAAAAATATATATAAAAGAATATTTTTACAATATTGAATGTTTTTTTTATATTGTTTAAAATTTCTTAAAGACAAGCACGTAGTATATGATATATTAAAAATAAATATGGATAACTGTCTTGATATAAGCAGATGGAACATAAGTTGCGTACACGATAAAATTGAAAGGACTAAGAATCTACTGAATGATGCAAAATATCGTTGCACGATACAAGTCATTTTACGTACAGTACGACTCTTACATAAAAGACATCAGGGTGTAATGCAAAAACGTATTATGCAAATCTTTAATCGTCTCCATATACATTCGGCGTAAAGGTAATGTTGCATGTGTTTTTAAAGACGCATTTTATGCAAGCATATAAGAATAATTTTTGTTAAAAAAAATATTAATTGTATAATTACCATTAAGCTTCAGGAAACTTTAAATCTATTTCTTGCGTATAAAATTAAAACAAATACATAATTATTAGTTTGTTAGAGTATAAAAAGTAGGCCTGTCCAATTTGAGCTTCGGAGCCAAAACACAAAACCATCGACGCAAAATAATTCAATGTGAGTAAGATTTTAAGAGTGTTATAAAGTGTTGATAAGCGTCAATCTGGTGCATATTAACACTTTATAGTCCCCGAAATCTTATCTACATTGAATTTTTTTGCGTGATAGCTTTGCGTTTTGGCTCCGAATCTCAAATTGAACAGGCCTGACATAGAGTTTGACTTGACATTAAATCAAGTAAGATTTTTTTATCCTTAATATTACGTTAAAAATTTCAAAAAAATTAGAATTTGGTATGAAATGCATAGAATTACAGCAATGATTCGCAATTTAATCATGTGATGATAACATTATATAATAAGTGTAATATGATTCTCGTTGTAGTAAAATTCTCATTACAATATTCATTACAGTAAATTGCGCGTATGTAAACGCATTCACGAGTTAATAATGATTTCATAATTGTTAAAACCGCAGGTTTACATTACTGAGAAAATACAGCAATGTCATGCGAGAGCAAATAAATATAAAGATTAATCACTTTACTATTTATAAAAAATAATTATTATAAAAATTTTTATTAAGTGTGTGTGATATGTAAAAATACTTATTAAAATTAAATATAAAAATACAATAGAATAATGGAATAAAAAGAATAGTTACTAATAATAGGCCAGTAATAGACCAGTTAATTAATACAATACTATCGTAAATTTCCTAGTAATTATATTGCTATAATATATTCGCGAGATATTTCATGTTTCACTTTTCTCGTTTTCTCATTTCATTATTCCAACACGTTACGACATTACACTTGTAATCGGCATGTGGCTTCAGGCATTCAGAGTAATTCTAATGCTGTGCACGCAGGTAATTTAAGTCGTACGTGCTACGGGACTTTGTTGCTCTCGGTAAAAAGAAACCACGTTGTATTCAAATTTTAACACGTGTCTTCAAATGTTACCATGTTTTTCAAAAACTGCACTCCGGAAAACCGAGACGCATCGATTTTCAAAGAAATGCAGTTTTCTTTTTTTCTCTGTCGTTTAAAAAGATAACGTTTCCAACTATTCAAGACAAATTCAGATTTTCTGAAAATGATACGTTAAATCTAAATTTTCAATTAATACATGAATAAATTGAATGAAAAAGATGATGTATTCTTGTGATTATAAAGATGATATTTAGAAGATATTAAAAATTAATTTCATTAATTGCACGTGATATTTGAGAAATAGACAATTCTGTCTATTTTTCCTCTTAGAGTCGCGTTTCTGTTTATATATGTTAATACCTCGCAAGGCGATGCTTAATTATGACGATGCTTGTTTTTCAGAGTTAAATTTAATTGCACCAATATAATTCTTATTACTGTCGGTGTCTCGGTGTAAAAATGAGAACTCGTTTAATCATCCCTAATACGCGACGTATACAACGATGTGGATTAAGCGCGGCGAGAAGAAGCGGGGAATTAGAATATCCCCGTCTCCGGGTGAATTTCTTAGGTGAAAGCGAAGAGGGCGAGCGACTTCCCAAGATACTCCTCGTTCTCAGCATTATCCAGAGCTTCCGACGAAATTATTACGGGCTGAAGAGAAGTTTCGGTGGGTATCCGCGCACGGAGAGTAATTAAATTTCGGCGTATGTATGCGCGCTTACAACACGCTGGGTGGCGGTGAAGAGAACGAGAGTGACGAGGATGATATTTGTAATTGTCATCGAAAATAGGTATAACGGCGAAGCATGGCAGCAGCGGTAACTCTGTTATTACGGACTTAAATAATCTCGGAGTAACAGAGGAGTATCAGAGGCCAAATCGGCTTAATTAATTGAAAGGAGGGAATGTCCTTATTCTAGAGTGCGATTATACATCCGTTCTCGCGTGCTAATTGTGTATGAACGCATGCGCGTGCAACTTATCACTGACTTTCTTAAATTGATTTCCTTTTCTTGCATTTCTCTACACGAAAACAATAATTTTGCTGAATTATTAAAAAAATTAGTTAGATTTGAAAATAATTTTGTTAGACAATCAAACTAATTGTGTGGGAAATTTAAGCATGATGAGCAATACTGCGAAAAGGTGATGATATTCTAGTAATTAACTTAAGCGTCCTACACAATTAATTTAGTTCAAATTTATTTTTAGGTCTGTATCTAGCTCAATTTTTATTTCGGCAAAACCATTTTTTCCACGTACTTTTGCTTTTCCTTCGTTTATGTGACATCATTATGGACTCTTCAGTCTTGCACGTGAATCTTGTAAGAATTTTGCAGTAAGAATTTTTACCAGGAAGAAGGAAATGCAAGATGCAGAAATTATGCATTCGTGTCTTCTGTGCGTTGCCGGCATGAAGGAACGAAGCGATAAAACGCGTAGTGAATCATAGACGCTTCGCGGCCGGGAAGAACGGAATTGGATGTTCGTGCAATGGTTTTACGAGGAGGCGCCTTCGAGATGTAGGTCAGGACGAAAAGGGGGAAGAACTGACCCAGCAGAAATGCGAGTACGGCAAGCGTGCCAGCGGTTTGTCGCGCGGAACGGAGGAAAGAAAGAAAACGAGAAATAACGAAAAAGTCTATTGTATTCTGGGAAAACTCACCTGCAACAAACAGAATCATATAACAAGTAGATAATTGACTATATAAAAGATCCACGCGTGCTAAAAATATAAATGTATCACGATATCTCATTGTTAAGTAATATTTTATTTATTGCAAGAAAATATAGAAAAAAAACGTATCTTTTAAACTTTAGACTAATATTTCCGACTTGGCAATTATAACTCAAATAAATTAAAGAACAATGAACATATAACTTAATTTCCTGAGAACATAAACAATTATTTTTCTACACTGCAGTTTACTTATATAGGATGTCCGGTAACAACATTTAAGGGTAAATTCCTGAAATCATTTTGAGACGAAAATCCTAATAGCAAAATGTCGAGGCTGTAATAGTTTTGAATTATAAGTATTTAATGTTAGCCAATTATACCATTTAAGTTCGCATGTTCAATGTAAAATGTAAAATGTCGACTACACTTGAATGCAACTATTGTAGCCTTGATATTTCGGTATTAGAATTTTCATTTCAAAATTATCTCAGAAATCTACACTTAAAGTATTGTTACGGTCTTTACTGGACACCCTGTACGAGTATATAAAGCTCAGGGGTGAAAGAAGAAGAAATAAATTACTACCAATTCTAAATCAGCGGCATAATATTGTATGTTTTCTGACTCTTTTAATTATTATTATAATATCATTATATTATTTTTAATATACAGAATTTTATTATATAGAATAGATAAATTTGAAAATATTAAAAAATTTTTTTTAAAGATAAATGTTTCTTTTTCCTATTTTGTATGCGGTATTGTATAACAGACATGTATTTATTTTCCTCTTTTTGCACTTCAATAAAAATCACATATAACCGTTTTTAGATGGTCCACCTTCGCTAAGAGAACGCGAAAGGTTTTTTTCATAGCGGAGGGGGGGGAGGGGGGAGAGTCTATATAAAATGGCGTGTCATGCGGACTCGACATAATTCACAAATCGATTTTCTGTCGAGAGACGCACAGATTTTAACAGTTTTGGAAGCTCGAGATTGGACGAGCTTAACGCGAATATATGACTGCGGATAGCGATGCCTACTGGCCACGTGTGTAGTCATAATTCTTTGCGGATCTCTCGCTTAAAACGGTAAGTGTCGTACTCTGGATAATTTCCAAGTGGGACGACAATAACCTGATCCGGCGTTGATGTTAAAATCTTAGATAATAAATATCTACATGTATTATAACTGTACGCTATATATGTAACAGATGCGAAACGTTGAACGTTATTGCTATTGCAATTATAACACCATGCACCACTATTTAGAACGAATTTATCTCGACATTACCTGACCCTTAATTAATGATGCAAACATGTAGATACCTTTTATCCATTAACTATTGTACTATGACATTTCTCGTGAAGGACATCTTATAGATTCTCTTACATAAAGATTATATATATTTTGTATAGAAAATTAATATTAAAATAACAGAAATGAAATAACAAGAATACTCTAGAATTTTCTTATTAATTTTATACAATTACAATCACAATTAAATCTAATGGTGAATTCGACCGCTCGCATCACACTGAACCTGTGCATATTAAAAGCTGCTTTACATAAAATATCTCAACGTAGTGATACAATACATTCTGTCAAAAAAGTACCGGCAATTGGTCAATAAAACACAAAATAGTTATTATTCATTCAAATTTATTGTATCGCCTTCAAAGTAGACTCCTTTCTAAATAATACATTTATGCCAACGAATAATCCAATCATCAAAACATTTTTTAAACGCATTTTCCGAAATCGACTTCAGTTCTCGACGCGAATTCTCTTTTATGTCTTCTATCGACTGAAAACGAGTGCCCCGAAGTGGTAATTTGAGTTTTGGAAAGAGAAAAAAGTCAGCCGGAGCCATATCTGGTGAATACGGTGGTTGTTCGATGATATTTGTTGAGTTTTTGGTCAGAAATTCGTTCACAATGATAGCCTTGTGAGATGGTGCATTATCATGGTGCAAAATCCATGAGTTTGTTTTCCACAAATCTGGCCTTTTTCGACGAATTTGCTCTCTCAAACGCCGCATAACGCCCAGATAATATTCTTTATTTACCGTCTGACCTTCTGGCAAAAACTCC